AATGAAATCAACAAAAGTGATATTAGGAGTAGCTTCGCATTGATATACACAATCGAGGCTTGTCTCTGATTCGATTAATTATGCTCTTCAGTAATAAATCGGTTTTTACTCCATTGATCCCCTTAGGACCTGAAAGTGTGACTGAAAATTTTCAATTGGAAAATTTTATGACAGCCATCTTGTAAGCTTCAGCGCCGCCATTCGTCAATTTAACATCGCGAATAAATAAATTTAAGAAATGTTTAAAAATGCGATGTGGAGGCGCCACCATCTCTAAAACCTCTTGCAACAGAGGGAGGGTGTATCCACGCAAGATGGCCGTACCTGTTAACCATCGTATTTGTGACCATTTATTGAAATTGCTCATCATCTTCAGATTACCTTCAATTCGTTTCCTCCAGTCACTGGAAAATGAACAAATTTTTACAAAATATCCTGCAGATTTCTTTCACCTCCTTTTGGCTGACAATTCAAGGCGCAAATTTCTCCTCGCATTTCAAAATTTTATCTTAACGTCGGGGTTTGTTGACAACAATCGTAATATTCCGTAGGGAAATTCGTAAAATGGAAACAAGTCTCTTCATATTTTTTCCTGAAGCCATTATTTCTCAAGATATTCCTCTCACCACTCCAATTCACTCTAAAACTTTATCACCAATTTATGATTCAACAGTTGACGCTTGTCGCCAGTTACGTAATCGATCGGTAGGATCAGTCATTCGTATGATTTAGCGCCATTGGGAATCCCTAATTAATGAAGTTGCCTCCGCTAATGACCAATTTACGCATTTCAATTGCCCGCCGGTTTGAATCAATGAATCTTCCTCTCGAATTGTTTTCATTTAATTTGTCTGAACGGTTTCTATACATAATTGCGACTCTTCAATTTTCTCATTCCTCTCGATACGGGTAACTTATTTCGTCAACTTTATCCCCTTAATTATTCGACGACTCGTTACACTGAGAGATAAAATTAGCTCTGTCGGAAAACTGTATTCCACGTGGGAATATTTGATGGAGTGAAACGGATTTACTTGAGGGAAATTAACCAACTTGATGGAAGGATCAAGGAGTAAAAATTAAATTTTTTGTGGTGATCGTCAGATAAAAATATAATCTGTTATACGATGATCATTTGATCTGAGAGAACTCCATAGGTTTATGGCATCGAAAGAATATTTTTTTTCCCCAAAACTAGGAAAGGGGATGCGCTTCGCATAATTGGCTAGTGATTTATACATATTATTTTTGATCGTTAGGTATTCATTTATTTACTAAAAAGGAGTTGATGTCCGCTTTTATGATTCGGTTTGGGAAAAAAATTGAAGAATGATCATCAAAAATTTCCACGATGAAAAATTCACTTTGTAAAATTTAAGAAATTACACTGATAGAACGGATTAGTTATTGTTAACGAATGGATTTTGGTTGGAGGTTAGGGTCTATTCGGTCCCACCAAATGTTCATTCGTTAATAGTTGACGAATGTATATTTGAGGAGCCTTGTTTGACTTGACTTTCGCCATTCAAGTGAACCATTCGTCAACTATTAATGAATATTCATTTGGTCATATTCAACTCTACCATTCGTTAATAGTTAGAGACGTATTGACATGTGGAAAAGATATTTGGAAAGTCAATGGAATTGTCTCTGCAGCGAACTATTTTATTTTATTTTTCATCACGCTGTGACGAAAAGTGAACTTTTCGGCACGCTCCGCGTGCCTAAAAGTCCACTTTCCGTCACATTGTGATGAAAAATATTGTTCGTAACTCGTGAAAAAATGTTTTTTAGCACTCGTTACGAAATATACTATTTTCAATGCATTTATAATATTTTTTTCTATGAACAAAAGTTGTAGATGAAAAATTACATCGAACCGATTCAATCATATTAAATCATCTCGTTTATCGACAAAATTTCCCCTAAAATTTTTGAAATTTTTACTGAAAATACTTCCCTGATCCTTCTATCGAATGGCAGAAGTTAAATTTCGATTTGTTGAATAATTTGTTTGTTATAAATAAATTTAGCATGTTCGAAGATCTCGGCAACCAATTGTCGGCAAACATTGAAATTGGTGTCAAAATTAGGAATTTCTCTCGGAGTTTATTTCAAAGTTCAATACAGCCAATGCATTTTATTTCAATTTTTTTTCGTTCGACTGTTTTCCAGTTATCGTTCCTTGAATAACGGGGTTGACGCGCCGTAAGTCTCCCGGCTGTTGGGACAAGCCGCGTTATATGGGCCCCGTACGTGAGGAGTTAAGAGTGAAATGGGGCCCATTTTCCAAGTGTGGAAATAAAAATCGTCTTTTTTGTTTTGTTTTTGTCTTTTCAAAAGTTACTCTTCCATTTTTTTTCAAGTTGCATATTCGAATTTTTCAACTACATTCTTCCCCTTCATCTTTCCTGCATAGCTTAGCTATCATACATATATGAATAATAAACTAGAAAAAACGAATACATATTGATTGGTTTTAAACTTTTAAACCATATATACATAATTATGTTTAAAAAAAATGTAAATATGTAAATAAATACATATCATAAATATATTATATATTTTGTATTATATATTATATATTTATTTATTCATCTATTTATTTATTCACAAGCTAAGATAACCTTGAAATGTTCATAAGTGTAGCATATGCTTGGCGAAACGGAGTGGTGACCAAAAGTGTTTCACCTATTTTTTAAGAGGAATAACTGTCTCCCCAAAATTATGTAGTTTTGCCAATAACACAGTTCTCGGAATTTTCCTGATGTCTATTCATTTTCATGGAATAATTGGCATTTCCGTGAAATTTTGAATTTACGATTACGAAATTCATTGAAATTTCAGTAAAACCAAAGTGTGATAAAAATTTCCCAAAAGTGGACCGGAAACTTCAGCGAAAAATTTTCAAGTACACAGTTTTCCTATCAAATTTGTTCATCAATGTTGAATTTCGAGTGTGAGATTGATTCTGGAGTAATTAATCTGCGTATGACAGAGCTGAATCCAATTAACTACACCTGTTGCAGATTCAGTATTCCGGGCAGAGCTGACGGGGCAATAACGTGACTTAGTTAATTTCTTGGTTCGAAGCATAGTCATCAAACTGGAGTCTGTATCCAAGCGAAATTGAGGGGTCTCGTTAATGGATTCTAGATTACTATGGCTTAAATTATCACGTTTTTATATTATTTCTAAAGATGTAATCGAAATATCAAAAACGAAAAACTCAACGATTAAATGTCACATTTGTTTGTCTGTTCAGGAAGTGTTTGATAAAACTTATTTACTACTACTTGTCTCAAAATTACCCTTTCAGATATTTTCATGGTAAGAAAATGAGAAAGTTATGTTTTGGTTTTTTTGTGTTTTTCTTTATGATGATTTACATCAGATTGGAAATAAATTTATTCATATTCAGAATTTAATAAATATTCCTTACATTTGATGAATATCTCCAAACGTAAGGGAGACAGACATTGAAAAAAAGATTCTCAGGAAAATTTGGATTTTTCTTTATTCTCAAAGACGCAATCGAAATTTTAAAACATATGGAAAATTCAACAGGGAAATGTCACATTTATTTTTCAATTAACTAACTGTTTTATAAAACTGGTCTAGGACTCTTTAGTCCCATAATTACTCATTCTTGAGATGATTGCATCCCAAGAAAATGAAAAATTCTTTTGATACAAATGATTCATTAAATTAAATTTCCGTTTTCATTTTATTATGGGAATATTGCAATGACGTTCGGTGTATTCTACTATCATTACAACCGATGATCAATTGTCAATAAATATGTAAATTATTCATTATTATCGATGTGTAATTGGAAAGAAAAGAAGAACTACTAGATAAAAATTGATGAAAACTGTTATCCACAAAACAATTATCTGAATTGAAAACAAATTGATTCATATTCAGAATTTAATAAATGTAATTTACGTTACGAAAATAAACATTCCCACGAAAATTTAGCTATTTCCCTTGATCATATCCAAGGACTTTGGGCTATTTTTTCTCCATTGAAATGCTTTTCTACTTTTGTCGTCAAATATCAGAGTTTTCACTTGAATCTCGATATTGAATCGTTAAAAAACATTTTTAAAATCTGGAAAAAAAATTAGAAAGTCGACTCTCGGAGGAAAGTTGATGAAATAATTGTAAAATTGTAATTATTTTAAATTACGAGCATTTTCTATAAATAACTTATAAACAATGAATTCTTACAAAAATAATAATACAAATAATAAACAATAATAAATAAAATGGCAAGGCCGCACACCTACACTCTGTCAGATCGACACACCGTCATTCTTCACATCTCAATCACCACACTGTCATTCTGCACTTACACATTATTTTTTTTGCACCAAATAATTTTCACTCACACATCAAACTTTATGTACACCAGAATTACACAGGACAGTTCTGTACATCTCAATCTACACAAACCCCAATAGCACCATTACATACACGAACTACACACTTTAAAATCACAGTGTTCGTCCAAGGCAAGCTTGATTAAAACGCTACAATTCCACTGATGCTAAACAACACATGTGTACTCCAATCGTACATGTGTGTTAGTCAATTTTACACACGTGTAGAATGATTTTATGAAGTATTACACACACAGAAATGATTAATCAATTAAATCATTTCTGTGTGTGTAATACTTCATAAAATCATTCTACACGTGTGTAAAATTGACTAACACACATGTACGATTGGAGTACACATGTGTTGTTTAGCATCAGTGGAATTGTAGCGTTTTAATCAAGCTTGCCTTGGACGAACACTGTGATTTTAAAGTGTGTAGTTCGTGTATGTAATGGTGCTATTGGGGTTTGTGTAGATTGAGATGTACAGAACTGTCCTGTGTAATTCTGGTGTACATAAAGTTTGATGTGTGAGTGAAAATTATTTGGTGCAAAAAAAATAATGTGTAAGTGCAGAATGACAGTGTGGTGATTGAGATGTGAAGAATGACGGTGTGTCGATCTGACAGAGTGTAGGTGTGCGGCCTTGCCAATAAAATCATTTAAAAAAGTAATAATTCGGTCAATTCTGTCAGTGTCACAATAACACTGAATAATCATAATTAAAAAAAAAATTCGCGCACAATTTAATTGACAATGGTTTGATCTATGAAAAAACCTGTAAAAGATACTTGAATATCCTGAAATCCTTAGATTGTTCCATCTCCGTCAAAGATTCCAACTATTGATGGAATTTCTCATTTAAAAATTCAATCCATCTCACGTTAAAAAATTGATATAAACCTGCAAATCCGTCGATTACATCCTCTCAATTAAATTAGTTATAATTAATTTTGACCCTCAACTTGTGCTGAAAGAAGAATAGAATCCATTGCATGCACGATGGGGCCTCGAAGCCTCCAGAATTTCCATTTATATTACCTACGTTGTACCTTCATTCTTCCCCTGACTCTATATTTTTCCACCTCTCACTGCTAATTTTACCCTCGATGTATCGATACAGTGAAGCTGCACACTGTTGACCATCCGGCGTCATCGCTTGCATTGTAGGTAATTTTCCATTCACCAATGTCAAAGGCCTGCTCTGGACTCTGTAACATGAACGACCAAACATTTTGGCCCTCAGTGATGTCAGACCACATAGTTTGCATGCCCAAGTCCAATGGCATCCGGCTAGGAGGGAATAACTCGAGTTTCACGGATCAACTGGGGCATTCGCATCTATGAACATCTCGCATTTTGCAGACATTTAGAGAATTCACATACCATTCACAGAAATGAGATACTATGAGAGAGAAATTTTTTTCATGTAGAAGAGATGAATTTTCATCGTAGTCAAGGGGAAAATTACGTAAAGGGATGACTTTGAGGTAAGACATTTATTTCAAAGGGGATGGAAAAATGTTTGTCAAGCTTGTGCAACAAATAAGGAGATTCAAGTGAATCTAATACTGTTTTTTATGAGAAATACTGGAGGAATTAATTTGCGAATATCTTTTGAACAAATAGGTCTGGAGGGAAATGTCAGAACACACTTTGAGGGCAGAATTTTATGGACTACAAATCAATTTTTCACAGGAATTCTCCGGAGCAGAGGCTGGCATAAATATTATTTTTACCAATATTTACACCGTAAATACATATTTTTTTACATAATAGCTAATAACGTATATATTTTTCATTATATTATGTATGAGTATTGAGAAATTCACATTTTTTAAATACCGTATCAATGAGTAATAATTAACAATAAAAAACTATTATTTATCTTATCAGGAATTACACTTGAATGTTTTAGAGTAGTCATTCAATCAATAATCAAATCGAAAATATTTCTCAATATTCATTTAATCAATAATGAAAATAAAAATATTTTCATTATTCTGTTAATAGGTAATGTTGACTGTCAAAATATTCATTAATGTGACAATGGACAATGATTATCGAAATGTCATTCCTTATGATGATAAACAGAAATTAAAAGTTTTTATTACTCAGTTAATCAGTAATTATAGATAGACATTATTGAATACTCATCTAATTAATAATGAAATCTATCTCATTAATTGAATATTTTTAAGGAAGAGCTAAAATAAGATAGCAAGTTAAAATGAACAATGAACAAAAAATTAGCAGTTTGGCATTTAAGTCCGTCATACGGCAATCATTTTTCAATGAAGAAGAGAGTTTATATAGTGTTTCACATCTTGTGACGTTAAAGGATATTATTGGATACGATTTGTATCTATTACTATGATAATGAAAAATTGATTTGGTTTCATTATTCATGACAAAAGAAATTGGGATTTTCTGGTTTTCATTTTCCATTGATCTAATAATGAAAATAAATTTTATACAATTATTGATTGATAAATTATTTATTTCTTTTTTCACTTTCATGTCTCATTAGTATCGCAATGAAAATTACATTTGGTATTATTATTCATTACGAAAAAAATCATAATTCCATTTTTTTAATTAACCATTGATATGGTAATGAAACATTAATAATGGAAATTATTTTCCTGTCGATCTCTGCTCTGGAGCGTAAATATTTTTGACAAGATCGATTATTCTGTACATCTTCTAACAATCAATTCAATAGTGAAGTGGTCAAACGGTTCAAGTCAATTCCACTATAGCGCCATCAGTTCTCGATGAATATCTCAAATTCTAAAGGAGTTGGCAAAATTTTCCTAAAAATCTTTTTTGTAAAGAAAAGTGAAGACTACCGAAAAAGATTTTACAACAATTTCGCCATCTTTCTTAAGTTCCGAGTTATTCAACAAAAACTCAACTGGGAACTAAGTCGACTTAAACCGATTGACCACATCACTACTGAATTATCCCTTTCAAAATAATAATAACAATATAACAAGTCTTCCAATATTTTCTTTGAAACTTCGTCTCACCTTACGTTGTTCTCACATCATTGAAAAAAATGGAGAATCAATACCTGATTATTCGTGACTTGAGTTACTTTGACGTTGTCCGTGAAAACCGGTTCATCCCAGGTGATGATGCTCCCGTTTCTCCCAGTGACATCTTGCGGGCAGTTATGGACCTTTGGAGGCTCGCCCTCTAAATTAAAACGAGTAAAATTTCTTGAAGCATTTTCTTCAATGAACGAAAAACCGAAAAAACTTAACAATTTGATTTATTTTCACCGAACGTTTGCGATGTGAAATTATTTTTTTACGATTCAACAGAGTTATTTTCAACGGACAAAACAGTATAAAATGCACGGACGAAAGAATAATTTTCAAATGTGTTAAAAACGCTGTATTTTTCAAAAATGTTTACCATTGAGCGACAAGAAATTACTGAAATCGGATGAATTTTAACTCGGGAAGAGGGGAAAAATCAAACGGCAAGGCGAAATAAAACAGTCAAAAAATGACTGTTTGACGCGATTCAAGCAAAAACAAATTTTTTTCATTAAATATTTGTTTTATCAATTTTTTTATTTTTGGCAATACTGATGAGAAAAATAATTTTCCATTCAGTAGCGTAGAAAACTATTGAGAAGTTTTGACGGGTGAAGATTTTGTGAATGGATTAATTGAAAAGAAAATGACACAGCAAAATCCAAAGTTCACAGCAAGGCCTAGGGGGAGACCCAGAGGGGCAAAACAGAAAATGTGATGCAAAATTAAAATCAAACAATCCATTGACAAAATCTTCGCCCATCAAAACCTCTCAATAATTTTCTATTCTTCAGAATGGAACATTATTATTCTCATCACTACTCCCAAGAATAAAAAAAAGTTGACAAAAAAAATATTTAATAAAATTTTTTTTTTTGCTTGAATTGCGTCAAACAGTAGTTTTATTGCCTGTTTCATTTTGCCCCACTCTCCCCCATGTTAGATTGTAATTTTATCTTACGGTGTAAAACTTGAGTTTATACTCTAGCGTTTCCTACACTTCCTATAATCTGACCAATTGAACTATTTTCAAAAGTTCTAGAATAGATTAAGCAGGATCAATTCGGGGATGCAAACAACCGACGTAACACAGCAGAATTCATTGAATTATCGTGACGCGTGGAATCAGCGATCCGCATTAAACAAAATCCTTGAAAGCGCTTAATGCCCAACCGAGGTTTAATTAAACCACAATGCTCGAATTCCATTATCGTGGATTACCCCCGACGGATAAACCGATGGAACTTCTATGACAACAGTAGTAACATATCAATTCAGTAGTGGATCCCTGAGACAAGGTTAACCACATGTCAATTTTTTTTAATTCGATGATTATCTGGGCGATTGTAATCATTCCAAGAGAAATCTCTATTAAGAAATAGGTGAAACATTTTCGGACAACAATCTATTTCGCCGAGCTTGTGCTGACCTTTCAAGGTCTACGTGGGCCTTTCAGTATCAATTTTCACGTCACAAAGTTTATGAAGTTAAATGAATATAATGGAGAAGTTATTCTCCAATTTATCAACTATATTTTCCTCCTTTATCTATCCTGCATAGCTTAGCTATCACATATATCTGTGTAATAATATCAAAATGAAAAAATTAATATATTTATTCATCTACTTAAAATTGTTTAAATCGGTCTGTATTATGAAAATCCAAATCGACTTCTGGTGATAAAAATTTGCTACTCGAAATTAAGTCTCCGAAATTAAGGGTCACAAGGGTCAGATTAAGGGTCTAAATAAGTATCACAAAAATCAGATTAAAGGTCACAAGGGTCGGAGTAAGGGTCCAAAAAAGGCACACGGGGGTCAAAGACTAAGGGTCAGAAGCGAGGGGTCACAAGGGTAAAAATAAGGGTCTCAATATCTCTCCATATTGTAAAAATCCAAATCGACTTTTGTGGTGATGAAAATTTGGTGCTCGAAATTGAGGTTCCAAAATTAAGGGTCAGAAATGAAGGATGAAAATTAGGGTCGCGAGGGGTATAATGAGGGCCAGATTGAGGATCACGAGGGTCAATTAAGGGCCACAAGGGTCAGAATAAGGATCATTAGGATTGGCGCGCGGAGCGAGTTCTTGAAAATTCATAAGTCTAGCATATATTTATCGACATAGACTGTTGACCAAAAACGTTTCACCTATTTTAATAGAGGAATTTTTAACCCTAGATTGGTCACCCTATGTGGGAAACCCCGCCACGCATCTCTTTCTTCAATTACAATTGACTGGCTAACCATAAAAATTCAAAAAAATTCAGAAAATAAGGGTCACAAGGGTCAAAATAAGGGTTCCAATATCTCTCAATATTGTAAAAATCCAAATTGACTTTTTGTGATGAAAATTTGGTGCTCGAAATTAAGACTCCAAACTTAAGGGTCAGAAATTAAGAATCAAAATTAGCATCACGAGGGGTATAAGAGTCACGGGGATCAATTAAGGGCCATAAGGGTCAGAATAAGGATCATGGGGATTGGCGAGCGGAGCGAGCCCTTGAAAATTAAGTTGACCAAAAATGTTTCATCTGTTTTAATAGAGAAATTTTCAACCCTAGTTTGGTCACCCTCCGAGGGAAACCCCTCCGCGCTTTTTTTTCTTCAATTACAATTGACTGGCTAACCGGAAAAATTAAAAAAAAATTTGACTGTCAATTGAAGTGTCTAAAAAATTATAGTAGTTTTTAGAACAACATATTTCCTAAAATTCCTAACAAAACAAATTATTTCGGACAGACGAATCATTTTTTCGCATGTTAACCCTAGACTGGTCACCATGCGAGGGAATTGCCGCAACACGTCGTCTTATTCACCTTATCATCGACTGGTTGATCGGGAAAATTTGAGAAAAATTAAATTCGTCAATTGAAGTATCTGGAAAATTCTAGTATTTTTTTTTCAATATTGTATCCTTAATTCTGGGAGAAAAAAAATTATTTCTAACAGGTGAACAATTTTTTCCCGTGTTAAATGAAATTGCCTGTTGCGCGACGTTGCTGGGAACGCGCTAAACGCGCCCGGGAAGTGTAGAGTGGATTCGGCAACGCTGGAGCCTAAATAACACGGTGGCACTCTCTCGCGAAGGTGACTAAAGTCGCGTTTTCCCGTCAGGTGGCCAGAATAGGGTTAAATGCCCATGACGCGACGTTGCCGGAAATTCGCTAAATGCGCCCGGCCAGTGTAGAGTGGATTCGGCAACGCTGAAGGCTAAATAACCCGGCGGGGAATCCCCGCGGAAGTGACCAAGTCGCAGAGTTGCGTCTGGTGACCAGACTAGGTTTATATTTTGAATTTTCACAGCTAAATACCGAAAATACAACCGACCTTTAACGACAATGCGAAGAGTGCAGGTCGACTGTTTCTTCGACACCGGATGCCTGGCGATGAAAGTAACAATGTGCAATCCGAGCTGGAGATTCGCCTCGAGTCTTGTGCCCCAGGATGGCTTAGATTTTACGTATCGAAACCAGTCTACATCGGTTGACGGTTGATTGAATCTCACGAATGCCTCGTTTTGGCCGGGAGATAGCTCTGCAATTACGTCCTTCGGACATTCCAACCGTGGCTTTGGATACTCTGGAGCCCAGGAAAAGGGTGCACTTTTGTTGATTACACGGAGTTGGAGTAAATACTATATAAATCACTTCAACATCGAATCTCAATGGGAAGGCAACGGCATTGAGCAGTAAAGTTTCAATCAGTGCAACTGTTCTATTTTTTTTCTCTTTAATTCACTACAGAACAGATGAGTTTGAATCAATAAATGAAGTTAATAACATCAGTTGTTTCTATTCTCACTGCTTCACGAATATTTCTGAAACTTGTTCCACAGAAAGTTCTTAAAGATATTCTCAAAGTTATTACGGAATCCAACAAATTGTTCTATTCAAACTCAGTTGTTTAAATTTAATAACAATTTCGCATAAAACTATCTATTCAGATTTTTTTCTTAATCATTTCCTGGAGTAGAAGCTTGTGAATTAGTAATGAGCATTGGTTGAAACCCCCCTAGCTTCATTGTGCATGCAAAAACGTATGAATGTGTATCCAAGTGTTAAATGTACAAATAACCGAACTGTTATAAATGTTTTTCAATTTTAACGAGAGTCAAGTTAAAAATAGTAGGAGATCAATTGCCCCGTATTTCGTAAGAGGGAAAATCTCTAGTGAGAATGAATATTTATACAATAAAATTCATTGGAATAATAATATGAAATTATGAAGCACATGGAGTCACCACATTAAAAAAAAAATTAATTCCCTTATTATGAAAATAAAAAGAAATGATTAGAAGAAAAAAAAACTGGACTTTTGTACTTAAATCATCACCTCTGCGAGGAATATTCTTCTTATTGTGTGATATTATCAATATAGTAAATCACGGATACGAAATAGTGATGTTCATAAGAAATGGAATGAAGCGAAAAGCTTGATATTTGGTGCTTAAAGATATTTTGCCATTTTCGGCAAATTTTATTTTTTCGTGTTCAAGGAAAATTCTATAACTTGTTTGGCTGACAGCAGAACATATGGAACTTACTTCTTTGATGTTAAAAAAAAAATTAATCGCAATTAATAAGTGAAAGTAAAGTTGTTGTCGACCGTCGAATAATGATTAAGTAAAAATTAATCGCAATAGTGTCTCCAGAAATAAATAAACAAATTTTTCTTTATACACGGGCTGATATAGGGTTTTTCATCGTCCGCTTTTCCCTATGTCTTACCTTTATCTCCATTGTAAATAATACCCCTGTCATTAGAATAAAATACCTCATGAAATCTGTATTTTAGAGTCCAAGGACTGAGACGACGATTGTAATTAGCTAAATTTGTATATAATTGTAGATATATATATTGTTAAACTACCATTTTATGTTGAATAAACGCTTTTAATCGTTAATCGTTATACACGGGCTTTTATGGAATTTATGTTGAATTTTATAATTCACCTACTAGAAGATTCTAAAAATAGAAAGAAAAATAGAAGGTAATGTGTAAAACTATACTGAATCGAATGGCCAGAGAAAAATTTGGGATACCCGGGCAAAAGAGGAAACATTTGGAAGATTCTATCCCATATAAACGCATGCGTTTGGTGCATTTTGTCCACTCCATTTCTAAATAATAAACATGGGTCGATGGATTGAAATTTTTATCAAGGTAAAGGGAATAGCTTCATCTCTCAGTTGAAAAAAAAATCAACTGTTTTTTGAATACTTCACGGAGAGAAATATTCAATACAAATTACCAGAAAAAAGACGTAAAAATTACGTTTCGAAACGTAACCTGGGAGCGAAGTAAAATTCAATAAAAAGTGTCAATCGTCACGTAAATTCTACGATCTATTCCGTAAAAATCACTCATCCGTCCGACGCCTCACGGCTAGCCATGAGTCACCGTGAGGGGGAGATTTTAACAACACGTTCCGGAACTTTTCGTAAAAATTCTTAAATATCCAAGAATTTTCATGTTCTGAGGCATAATAAGTCTTGAAGTTTCTGTTAGATTTTACAACTTCCAGAAAAATTACGTGACTTTTTCGTATTTTTTCGGTGACAGACCCGAAAATTTACTGAACGTTTCAGATTTATTCTCTTATATTCCTATAGAAATTCACTGAAAACGATTCTCGCTTGCGGATTACGTGAAATGTTCCGTAATTTTTCTTGAATATTTCTCTCCGTGTTGCGATTTTGGATAAACATCCTTACGGTTTATATTCCATTTGGAAATCAATGAGAATTTTTCTCAACATGGTTTCCTCCATCCCCTACTTCCACATCGAACGTAGAAAGATTTTCTCGATATTAAAAATCGAGTGTTCCAATACATCGAAAGGCAATGCAAAGAAAATGGTTTCCCTTGAAAATAGAAAAAAAAAATGAGAGAAAAAAGATGCGAAAAAGGCCAACGTGTTTGGAGTGAATAGTTGATGTTTTGATGAATTGATTGATCGACTCAGCAGAGGTAATTATAGAAACTAAGTATTAAACTCACTGACACAATCGGCATGCTGTGGCCCCAGCCACTCTCCACTTCCGTGGCAAGTGATCTGATATTCCCCAAGGAGTTTATAACTCCGTGGGCATTTCAAATAGCACTTAGTGCCGGGCCGATTAACGGCTCTGTACGGTTGCCATGTATTGTCGTCTCCCTGCCGTGAGCATATTAAAGTACCTCGTTTAACTGGATTCACCGGTGGACACGAGATAGCGTTTATCTCTGTGAATTACAATGGAAATAAATCATGTTTGTGGATTATGACGTACAATATTCACACTATCAAATGAGGATTCATATTTTCGGACGATCTGCATTCTTCTCAGTTGCACTGTTAGAAAAAAATGATATTTCATGGACAGTTGACTACTAATTTTCAGGACAGCAACACTGAATGCGATTTAGGGGGGAAAAAAATCATGGAATTTCAGGTTTCACTAAAAATGCAGTAAAATTCCAGAATTTTAAGTAGCAGAAAGACGAGAATTCCTTAATTTATTTGAATGTCCAATCTATTATGAATATTCAGTGCCAAATTACATTGAATTTTCAGTGAAATCTGAAATATCATGATTGTTCCCCCTAAATCGCACTCAGTGTCACTGTCCTGAAAATTCCAGAATATATTTACCGGAATTTTCTGGTTTTCTATCTATTTTCAGGGAAAAATGGAACTGAAATTTACACTTCTCTTTCATTTTTCCATGAAGTTCTGAATTTTCAATGACGAAATTCCTTGAAATTTCAGTAGTAAGTAAATTCGATACAAATTTCCAAAAAGTGTACCGGAAATTTCAGACAACAATTTTTAACAGTGTAATAGTGGATAATTACACGTATGAAAAAATCGTATAGAAATTTTCTATACGGATTGTGTATAGAATATCTATAGGATTTTCGTATATGATATTCGGATATTTCAATACGAATAATTTTTATACAAATTATTTCTATACGATTTCTATAGGTTTGATCCTATACGATCCACTGCCACATGTAAAAATTTCGTATGGAGTTGTGACATTTCTCTGTTTTTCTCTGTACGGAGAGAAATATTCAATAAAAATTACGTATCTGTTCCGTCATTCCGGAGCGAAATGGGGTTGTAGGAAATTTTACGGAACTGTCACTGAATTTTTCCGGAGCGTTCCGTAATTTTTATCTGAATCTCCTGTGAAAAATTACGATACCATCACTTAAATTTTCTGAGTCGATTCCGTAATCGGTGAGTGAATTGTGAGTTCCGTAATTTTTACTGGACATTTCTCTCCGTGTGGAGCGTTTAGACATGTTCCGTATGAAAAGAAAAATTTATGTAAAAATTTATGTATAAAAATAATTCGTATAGAAAAAATTCCTATAGAAACATCCGAATATCATATACGGAAATCCTATAGAATCTCTATACGCAATACGTATAGAAAATTTCTATACGGTTTTTTCATATGTGTACAACTCAACTCACAAACTTATTCCTCTTTGAAAATTTGTTTTTTTAATTTTATGGAAATTTGTGACACACAGTGCGATAAGACTCGCTGAAGCTATGAATTTCCCTGAAGTAATTTATATTGAAAAAAATGTGCAGATAAGTTGCGGATTTTTCAATACAATCGGCCAAAAACTAATAAAATTTTTACACGTGTCGCGTTGAAAAAGCACGTGCAGATAAGTTGCGGAATTTTTTAATAAAATCGGCCAAAAACTAATAAAATTTTCAAGGAGAATCCAACGGAATTTTCCAGCAAAAGCGCTCGGATATAAAATTTTTCGACCGTGTCGCGTTGACAAATGATCCCTTGCAAAAAAAAGCCGGTAAAATTTTCATTTTGCTTTTGTTAAATGAATAATAAAGTGCTGCATTTAAAATCAATCAACGAAAAATCATTGATTGAGAATAACAAGTTGTTAAGATATTCATCAATCGATAAAATACTTTATTCCTAAAATGGTTGTTTTCAGGACTTATTATCAAGAAAGAATCCGATGATTACTCCGACCTTCACATATTTGAGGAGTAAAACCGTAGATGGAATGGTCGACGAGGAATTATTATTACTTGAGTTATTTCCAGTATTGAAAATAGAGAAAAAAATAAAGACTCCCCACCTTTTGTTGTTGTCAAGAACAATCCACCGATTGGGAGTATATTAATACCCGGTAAATTTCCACAAACTACAATAGTCTTCAAGAGTCTTCGTACTGTAAACGTAAGTTTTTCATTCTCCTCCAATGAAGTTTCTCATAATTTTCCTGTTGGCGTGTGCTGTGATGAGCGTCACGGCAAAAGGTAATAAAAATCAAACGTTCTGTATTTGGAAATACAATTTAAAAATGGTTTTGTTTCTCTAAAATACGAGTCCAAGATCTCATTTGAAATAAATCAATGAAAAAATGTATCGAAAAATAATTTCCATAATTTGTCCAGTTTGCAAGAGTGTGGAAGACTGCGATGACAGCGACTGCAAGAAAGATTTGAAAGCAATCTGCGTTGAAGGTATGTGTCGCTGTGTGGACTACGAATCGTGGAGATGGTACACTCTCATAGCATTAGGAGGTGATCCTCGTCTAATGAAATAATGTGCTATCAAAAATATTGTTGCGTATCCCCCTTCGAATCCCGAAATTGTGAACCATCTGAAGAATGTCTGTGAAGCCTGTTGAGTTATGACTGTCATCTGGATCTATCGTCATTCTTTCCCCTGGATCCAAAAGAGATTATCGACTGGATTCTGCATAATTAATTAATGAATAAACTGTTCGCCCCTTCTATTTCCTTAATTACGTGTTCGCCTTTTTCATTCTTCTGACGTAACAATATATTCATTTTTTGAAATAAATTCAATGGTATAACAAGATGCATCCTTATACGACTGAGATCCGAATTATTTGAAATTTTAAGAATTGAGAGTTAATTACTTGAATAAAGATTCAGTTGCAAGCACAATAATGCTTAATCATTACCCTTAATACTCCCTCCACTGGAATGATCCTACAGAAGTAAGAGATAAAATTAGTTCATGAAAAAATCAGTAACTTCTCATGGACACCGCCCGCTTGTTACCAAGTGTATTAGAATGCACTCGATGCGACTTGAATTCAGTGATTTCTACACGGAGAGAAATATTCAGTAAAAATTGCGGAACAATTCACGTAATTCGCAATGGGGAATAGTTTTCCGGCAATTTTTATAGGAATGGAAAAGGAGAAATCTGAAACTTTCAGTGAATTCTCAGGTTCATCACCGGACAAAGTACGAAATTGTCACGTAATTTTTCCCGAAGAAGTAAAATCTTACAGAAACTTGCCCACTTATTGTGCCTCCAAAATAAAAAATTCTTGAACGTTCAACAATTTTTATGAAACTGGTGAGTTATTTCTACTTTCCGTTCCGTAAAATTTCTCAATCGTTGGGGAAAAATTTCGGAACGAATTGTTGTCCCTACAAGGGTGAGTCATCAGACGGGTGGTTAATTTTTACGCAACAAATCGTAGAATTTACGTGGTGATTTGTACAATTTCAGCTCCGACTCACACTTTTTATTGAATTTTACTTCGCTCGTGGATTACATTTCGAAACGTAATTTTTACGTTTTTTTTTCTGGTAATTTTTATTGAATTTTTCTCTCCGTGTAATGAATGAAGAATTCTGAAATTGATATCAGTATACTATAGCGAAGTGGTAAAACGGTACAAGTCAATTTTGACTATTGACCAGTTTTCAATGAATATTTTAGAATCTAAGGGAGATAGCAAAATTTTAGTTATTAACTTGTTAAAGATTGAAGCTAATTTTAGGGCGGATCGGGGACACGTGATATGGAAAGGGTGAAAATTAATGACACGCGGATTACAAAACACTGGTGATGTACTTTATTTGTGGCGCAAGCCACGCGTCTTGATTTTAAGGATACACGAATTGGTGAATGTCTCAATGTCAATTTGATAATAGTCTTTTCACTGCACTAGAGATTCTCTCGATATTAAACTTGATGATTGACTCAAAATAATTGATAGTTAACTCGGAATTAATTGATAATTGAATAAAATAGAGACGCTACACAGAGCGCTAGACTCAATATAATACTCGGTGATGTACTCGATACTCGGCTAGTTTAATACTGTACTCTATATGTGAATCTCGGACTAACCGATGTATACTCTTTGAGGAGTAGATTGATACTACTGAAGTTTAATATTTGGCGATTTGCTTCGTGATGTACGCGTGGACCCGAAGGGTCCCGAGGTCATTCGAGATTTTTCGTTGAGCCCGGTAATTCTGATAGAGAAATATTTGCTGCATTTCAAAGAATACTTTTTTGTAGAGCCGATTGAGATCTACAACAAATGTAATTACAAAAAATTCGCAATCTCCCGAATCTCCCTTAGATTCGGAAATATTCCTCAAAAACTCAACTGGGAGATGAGTCGACTTATCTCCGTTTACCACTTCACTACTGATATGTCATTGAAGTTACAGAATTCCTTTGTCCGACATCATTTCCCTCGTTAAGTAACTTATTAGTTTTCAGAATAGTCAATTTTCAAAAGAATCTTGCCTTATCGGCTCGATTTATCCTAAATGCATCTCTTCTCCCCCCAGCACTCCACTATCCCCGACGGTATTAAAATCACAAAGTTGTGAATGTCATTCACGAGAACGTGGATATTCCAAGACCATTATAATTGATAAGAGACAAGGTCATTGAAGCACGCGCCGTTGGAATTGCCTGTATGCCAGCCCCCAGTTCAATTTTGAAGCGTCTATCGGCTTCCCATTAGGTCCCCAACCCATAGATACCGGGTAAACAATCGTCTCATCTCAAATGCGAGGCAGGGCGATAATGAGAATTGCAATTCAGTTATGTAACCTCTCCATCTCGCATAATTGGATTTTCAGATAATTTTTTATTGGACTCATGCTCACCTACACAGGATCTTCCGTCTGATGAGACGATTTTCTCATCGCCGTTGCAGGCACAGAAGTAGCTGCCTTCTGTGTTCTCACAGACTTCGTCGCAGCCACCGTTGTTGTCAAGGCATTCGTTTATATCTGGTAAACATTTTTTAACACGGGAAAAATAATATACTTGAATTAAGTATATTTTATGCTCGCGGGGGGGATAGGTGTTTCAATTCGAAGATGATTATTTCGTATCAGTCCAGCTTGTACCAAGCGCTCTCAAGTGTAATATGAGGGTCAGTCACTGGGTGTGAGAATACAAGGGTCAAAGGGTGGAGGTTAAAAAATGAGGGTCGGAATATTAGATTAAAAAACTGAGGGCCTGAATGTAAAGGAGAAGGAATGAGGAATGTTTTGATCGCCTGTCATTTTTTGATTTTCTTATGATTATTCTGTCAAGATTCCATGAACAACTAATGGATTAATGAGGTATTTAATGAGTTTCTCTGCAATTTCTACAATTGTTTTTGGCGTTTTATTTGAAATTTTATTAATTTGTCTTCATATTAAAATCGCTTGGAAAACCGTAAATGGCTGAGGAATTATATTTTTCGGTATAGTTAATAGATTTTAATATTATCTGCCGGCAGAAGGACGCTGGCGATATACAGTAATATACATAATACCTGTAATAATAATAATTTTTTTCAGTAAAATATAATGAATAGTTTTTGTTTTTCTTTGAGTTGGAGTTCCTAGGGGAAGGAATGAGGGTCATATAAGGACTAAAAGCAGGAATCAAGCATAATATATGACTTATATTTCAACTCTCATTGTCTAACACCCCCTTTTTTTCACCCATGGTCTGACCCTCATTTTTTAACCTCCACTTTTTGACCCCTATATTCTGACACTTAGTGCCTGACCCTTACATTACACTTAACCCTAGATTGGCTACCCTTCGATGGAAACCCCGCCGCGCGTCGTTTTTCTTTAATTACAATTGACTGGCTAACCGGAAAAATAAAAAATAATATTTCCCAAAATTCCGAAAGAAAACAAATTATTTCGGACAGATGAATTATTTTTTTCCACGTTAAATGAAATCGTCCATGGCGCGATGTTGCCGGAAACTCGCTAAACGCGCCCGGTCACTGTAGAGTGAATTCGGCAACGCTAGAGCCTAAATAACACGGCGGGGAATCCTCGCGGAAGTGACCAAGTCGCAGGGTCGCCTCTGGTGACCAGACTAAACAATCATCTTCGAATTGAAATATCCATCCCCCAATTGAGTATAAAATATACTTGAATCAAGAATATTTTTTTTCCGTGAACGATTATTTGATTATGAGTCGTGAGAGATTTTGGAGGAAGAAAATGAGTGATTGGATGGGGTGAATCTTCTTGAGAGCGAGTGATCGCCAGAAGGGTTCTCGAACAAGTTTTACTTACGCCAAAAAGATCGTTTGTTAAAAGTTATAAAAAATAACATGCATCAATCACTAGCCAATGGTACGCGCGCGAAACGCGTCCGTTTTCGTAGTTTCGGAAATTCAGACATGAGGTTTTGTGAAATGGCAAAATGAATTGAAATGACAAAAATTTCTCAAATTTATTGCAAGGACTGGATTTCTCATAAATATGATTCAATTTCTCTGGAATTGGATACTGTTTGTAGATATTCATACCCAAACACGTGACGACTGAAGATGCTCGATATCCAGGGGGGCATTGGCTCCTCCACTTCTCGATGGCCGGTTGATCCTTGAGCTCGAGAGGATTATTGACGCATCGATAGGAGCCCGGAGTATTGATGCATCCATATCTACATACCTCAGTTTGTAGCTCAGGAACAGCGCACTCGTCGATATCTAATCCAAAGTAACAAGTATTGTACTTATAATAAGTCGTCCCTATTTCTGGCGGACAATATCAGTATTGCTTTATTCTATTGTATTTTAAAAACAAGGCGAGGATTTTTAGAAAAGAACAATTGAAATTTTGCCAGTCGTCTTGGGAGATATTACGGATATTCGAGTCAGGGATGGCCATCAATATTAAATTTCTTCAATATTAAAAGGTTTGGCGACTTACATTGATAAATGTTTAAATACAGGGTGACGTCAGCTCCTTGTTTACAAATTTCAGGCAGATATAGAATAGAAAATCGGGAATTCAACGGTACAAAAATGAGTAAATACCGATGATAGACATTTAAATAGTGAACATTAGAATTTTTCAATACTTCAGCCAATTCTATTGCGATTGACTACCGCCATGATTGGAAACGATGACGCAGTTGTCAATGGGACTCGATATGATAGTTAATATCGCTCTTCATGTTGATAAACTTATCGATTCAGGGTTGCAATGAACATTGCTCAAACTATCGAACATAATGGTGTTCCAACTAACGCACATAACCGTACCGTCGGCATTTTCAATCATGGCGGCATGGCGGGAGACTACCATGATGTTGTTGGGTAAATCATTGAAAAACTCTAACGCTCAATATTCAAAAATTTATTATCGTAATTTCATAATTCTTATGCCATTGAATTACCAATTTTCCATTCGATATTTCCTCACAATTTGTAAACAAGGTGCTGACGTCACCCTGTATACTCATCAAAATTTGAAAATAATATAATATTGATGGTTTAATTTTTCAATAATGGTGTCGGAAAAATTGACCTAGGCGGTCTCTAGCGACTTGACAGGTTCAATAAAAAGTTAATAAAAGGATTTTTTGTCGATGACCCAACGTTTCGGTCTCTAGGGAGATCCTCACTAAAAAAAATCATTTGCCAATATGTGATTTCCATGGTTCTGGTTTTATGTATAATTGTCATGTATTTTGAACAGTGCATTGGAAGATTAAAGGAACCCCTGATGGGGGTCTCCCTGGAGACCGAAACGTTGTGTCATCGACAAAAAATCTTTTTTATTGAACCTGTCAAATTACTGGAGACTGCCTCGGCCAATTTTTCCAACACCATTATTGAAAAATCAACTATTGCGGTCGGCCATTAACTCCAAATATTTATAGTTTAAATTTATTATTGATAATGAATTCAGTAGCGAAGTGGTCAAACGGTTTAAGTCGATTTTGACTATTCGTGAGTTTTCAATGAATATCTCACAATCTAAGGCAGGTAGCAAAATTTCTGTTATCATCTTTTCGATAGAACACATTGAGAGCTTCAAAAAAGATATGTTTGAAACGCAATTAAAATTCCAGAACATTCTGGTTGACTAGCTCGGCCTAGTTCGAAAATCTCCGGGACCCTTCGGGTCATCAGTCATAAGTGACCGAAACACGCGCGAATCAGTTTAGGCTTAGCCTCTCACCGTATAAGTCTATCTCGAGCAAATCACCTGTAGACGTCGTATAGTATCAGTACAGTTCTGATCAGTACATCAACTCAGTTCATTTATTCAGTTTTATAAATTCAGTCTAGAGTGAATCAACGCAGTTAAATAATTATCAGTAGAAATTCAGTAAATCAATTAACAACTTTCTAGAGACATTCAACCGTGTATAAAGTGTACATATTTTCAGACTTTGGTGGCTGTTGACCACCAATAAATTGTGACTTTAGAAAACTCCGTATTTTTTCTTTTACGGCTCATCCTACTTTAACTATCCTCTAACACCTCCCACAATCCACCCAATTTACAGATCCTCTCCTCAAACAAGATGTGAACAAAAATTTCGCTATCTGCCATAGATTTGGAGATATTCCTCGAAAACTCAGCTAAGAGCTAAGTCGACTGAAAACGTTTGACCACTTCGCTACTAAAATTTTCAATGATGAATAATATTCATCGAGCCTCGTAACGATCTCCAGTCCTTGCAGGGGCACAAACTGGGTCCATGGCGGTACACTGAGGAAAAAAACGCAGAGTTCTCAATCAAGTCTTGTGCCAAAAAAATCGTGTGGTAAAAATAATAAAAAAATTTTTTTTTGCGCCAAACATGCGAAACGTTCGCCGAGATTGAAAATTTTTATTGCAAAAATAGATTTAGTCTTTAGATCTATTTTTTCCATCTAAATCGCATTCAGTGTCACCATCCAGGAAATCCAAGAATATGTTTACCAGAATTATCTGGTTTTCGATTTATTTTCAGGGAAAAATAGAACTGAAATTTACAGTTCTCTTACATTTTCCCCCGAAATTCTGAATTTTCAATGACGAAATTCCATGAAATTTCAGTGGTAATTAAATTTGATAAAAATTTCCGAAAAGTGTACCGGAAATTTCAGACAAAAATTTTCAACAGTGTATGACTGATCCGCCTCTTCAGCCCAATATTCCGTTGTTGTTGAAAGTAGAACAATTATTCATGTTTTCGACCTTCAAATTCTCACCAAACAATCATTTTTTTGGTAATTTTCACTTAACGATTCTCTTGGCCCAGACTTGTTTAAGAACTTGTTAATTTTTCTCTCAGTGTACCACTTGATGAAAAGTTTTAGTAGTTGTACCGGAAATTTTAGATCCAATTACCGGATAACTCACTTTATTTGTCCATTGAATTGTTCACCGCAATAAAGAGAAGCACTGCAGACTTTGGTGAAATTTCCACCACATAAAACATTTTACATCAGTCACAAGAATCATGTAATCCACATATGGAACATCGTCCATAAACCCGCATTTAGTCATACATAAACCATGAAACTTTACGACAGCTGTAAAACTCAGTCATAAACCTCATATTTGCTGTTGATACTGACCTTGACAAGTTTTCCAGTCATCCTGAAGAACAAAACCGTCGGGGCAGAGGCAAAAAATCCTGCCGGCAGTGGAAAGACACGTGTGTGAGCAGCCAGCATTGTTATCGGAGCAATGCCCGGCCGTCTGACAGGTGTGATTGTCAGCCGAAAGAACAGCGCCGGGCAATCCCTCACAAGAACAAATATATCCACCCTCGGTATTACGACACCTGTCCTGACATGGCCCACGACCATTATTCTCCGAGCACTCGTCGACATCTGAATGTTCAAGTTATTAAATCCCGTCATTATTTTGTGGAACATTCTGCGTCTGCATTTATTTATGATTTATGAGGGGAAAAAAGCGGGTGAATAAATCGTAGTAGGGGACGGTGGGGTAAAATGGACACTAGACTTTTTTTCAATTACTCATAACTCAGAAACAAATTCATCAATGGAGCTCAGCTTAGGCTCATCACAAAGGGCAAGAATTGTTCTTTGCATTGAAAGAAAAATATTACATTTTATCATCATTTCAACCTGTCATTAACATTTTTAAAAAAGTGAAGTGTCCATTTTACTCCAATCTCCCCTAATTGAAAATATATCTTGAATTTTTCCTTTTTAGAACAAATTTGAGAATTATTTTGGTAAACTATGGAGTGCAGGAATAATTTTGCAAACTATAGTATTAATGCTTTCATATTAATACTTTTGGGGAGTGCAATATTGATAGTTTTTATTCCGAAATTGTTTAAAAATTAGTCGATAAAAAATGCATTCAGTTGAAAAAATGAATAAAGTTTAATTGAACGATGAATAATGAAAAAACAAATGAATCATTTTGTGTTAAATAATTTTGATATTGTAAAATCAATTGAATAATTTTTTTTTCTTTTAACTAACTCTTTAGGACAATTTAAAGTTTAAAAAAATGATTCAACTCATACATTTTTCAAAACAAATTCGACAATCTTTTTGCAAACATTATCAAAAGGGAGAGTAATTTTCAAAACTACACTATCAATAATTTGAAAAAAAAGTTTCTATCCCATGACTTTAAACATTTTACCGTTATTAATATAAAAAATAATAATAGAAATAAAACATATTAATTATAATAATTAAAGTAAATAAGTAAATTAATAATAATAAAATACAAATAATAATAGAATAATCATTCAATTTATTTCATGGACCCACCAGTCCCACAGATATCGCCGAAAAAATCTACCCTAAACATTTAAAATTTTCTCCCATGAATTACATTCCTCCCTCAAAATCAATATTCCAAGCTATTGAACTTCAATCACCCAATTTTTTATCCCCGTCATCTTTCGTTCTCCTGATATCCGTACCTATACAAGTGAACTTGTCGTCTCCATAATAAAGCCACATTCGCCAAATAATACTTTTATCGCCTTATGACATAAGATGCTATTTTTGAATCAAATAAGGAATGCTCTCACGAAATTTCCATTTTTTACAGAATTGTCCAAAAAATCGTATTCACCGTATTTGGAATTTATCAATCTATCACATTAGTTTTTTGAAGAACATCGTAAGAACAGTTTTCTCATAAGATGGAAAACCCGAGTTCATTCCAGTCAAAATTAATCCCGAAAATGATCATTCGTAAACACCTCCAATCCCCAAGAAAATGACCAAAAATCTCTAGTTAAACTCGATCCCCTCAATCGTCATCTACCCAATATTTTATTTCCCCAACCAACCGCACAAAATTATTTCACCCAACTTACTTCACGTATTTAATAACGAAAAAATCTACCCTAAACATTCAAAATTCTCTCCCATGAATTACATTCCTCCCTCAAAATCAATATTCCAAGCTATTGAACTTCAATCACCCAATTTTTTATCCCCGTCATCTTTCGTCCTCCTGATATCCGTACCTATACAAGTGAACTTGTCGTCTCCATATTTCATTCCTCCGGGGCACTGGCATCGATAGCTCCCCACAATATTGACACACGTATATTGACAACCACCATTTTCCTCCTCGCACTCATCCACATCTGTAAATACAAACCAAGATGTTGAAATAGTCCATAAAGAGACTTGATAAACTTTAATGACATTTGAATGCACATAATGTCACTGCTGTTATACTGTAATGTCGTTTAATAATGTAGGAGCTGTACCGATGCATTTATTGCCTCGAAGGCTGAATCCTTTGTGGCAGGAGCATTTGGCCATGCCATTGTCTACTGCACAAATGTGCTCACATTCTGAATGCAAACACAATTCATCAGGTTTTTTCGTGCACAATGGCTGTTCGCCTAGCCATTTACGATTTTTGCAGAAGAGGCGAGTGTTGTTTGACGACATTATGAAGCCAGTGGTGCATGTATAGTCCGCTTCGAGATATTCGTGCTCTGGTTTTGATGACCTTGGGTAAATAAGAAGAAGTTAATTGAGTGGAAATAATAGCTTGGGCGAAGAGGATTGAAAAATTATGTAGAACATCTCGGCAAATTTTACTGTGAGAACGGTAATCGCGGAGTGGAATGTAATCCAGTGAAAAATACTTTTTGCGGAGGATGTCTTGAGATTAAGTGGTGCCTGTACCGCTCACCTGAGGAATAACGATAATTATCGCATCTCAAATCATGATTTCGAATCAAAGAATAAATTATTACAGATAGAAATTGGAAATCGAAAATGAATAAAAATGTCCGAGAACTAAATTTCGGAAAATGATTTGATTTTACCTTTTTGTTAATAACAATTCAAGAATTATTGTTAATTCTACGTACATAATGTGAAGCATTGAATGTTGAAAAGATCTTTCAAATAAGCCATACGAATTAATATTGAGAATTTACTGAAATAGTAATGAGAAAGAATCCGAATAGAACGAGAACAGAGGGAGGGCGTTGGGACTTATATTTCGAATTCGTACGAAAAGTTAGTACCGGTGATGCGCGCTAGATGGAGAATTTTAAAATCCGTTTCCGCGAGTCCGATTGTTTTCCGAGTTATTAAGCTAAATATATCCCAAGACAATCGGACCTAACAGTTAGTCCCTATGGATTTCTGGAAAAAATTCTCATGTATTGCTGCTGCAGGTAACAATAACTGTTGAATCAAATAAGAACTAATTTGTTAATAAATTTTTTGAATCAAATAAGGAATGCTTTCACGAGATTTCCATTTTTTACAGAATTGTCCAAAAAATCGTATTTCACCGTATTTGGAATTTATCAATCTGTCACTAATTAGTTTTTTGAAGAACATCGTAAGAACAGTTCTCTCATAAGATGGAAAAACCGAGTTCATTCCAGTCAAAATTAATCCCGAAAATGGCCATTTGTAAACACCTCAAATCCCCAACAAAATTACCAAAAATCTCTAGCTAAACTCGATCCTCTCAATCGTCATCTACCCAATATTTTATTTCCCCAACCAGCCGCACAACATTATTTCACCCAACTTACTTCACGTATTTAATAACTCCATGGGGAATGTAAGGCGCAGGTACGAAGCTCCCATTCATGCAGGAGAGGTCACCCAGTGACTCTAAATTACCAACTCCCTCCAACAATTTTCCGTCCTCTCCAGAGTCATTTGTAGGTGAAGCACTCTCCGTATCACGGCCGAAAGTATCAGATAAATTGACCCCATCGATATTCCTCCCATTGATATCAGAATCCACTCCCTTCAATTGATCATAATTATCGAATTGATTATCGCTCACGGAAAAACCATTTTCCCGGCGTGAATTCACAATCTCCCTGCTCTCAACAGAAGCTCCACTCTCGCTCTCCAAAATTTCATTTTTCCTCAGCGATAATTCCGTCATTTTCTCATCACTTTTTGTCAATGCAAATGGCCGTTCTCGTCTCATTTTTATAATTTCTTTCTCAAGATTTCTCGTCAGTAACTTCTCCACATTTCTCTCAATTTTTTTCTGATTCAAGAAGTTTGTAAAATTCCAGTGAGAACGATTCCCTCTCGAATTATTGAATAGTTGAGGGGAATCCTCGGAGGTGAGTGCAGAAAGTAAATTTTTCTCATCCCGTGATTTTAATTTTCTAGATTGGGTTCTCTCGTGCGACCTCGATCGCCAGTAGCCCCTGTCAGGTCCTTTATCAACTCTCATTAATGATTCATCCTGCTCCTTGCTCCTCGCTTGGGTGAAGTATTTGCGAGCTCTCAGGTGTTTATATTTTTTATGATTCCGATAATCGTTTTTTCGTCGCTTATTGGATCTCCCCGGTGCTGAAAAATTTATGGCTGTTCTTATTGGAGTTTTTTTTGGGGTGTGTGGGAGCAGAGATCGGCAGGAAAATAATTTCGACTATTAATATTTCATTACCATATCAATGGTTAATAAAAAGAATTGAATTATGATTTTTTTCGTAATGAATAATAATACCAAATGTAGTTCTCATTGTGATGCTAATGAGAAATGAAAGTGAAAAAAGATACAAATAATTTATCAATCAACACTGAGAAAAAAAATTACTTTTGCCAAGGAATCATTTTCTTGGGAGAAGAATTTATTTTTTGCGGAGCGTATTTCTCCAGGCCAGTCATTATCAAGGAGTCCAAGTCCACCTCTAAATATTACAATTATGTTCAATTATGGGATGATTATATTACATATGACCTTGAATGAACTCCATTGACAATTATTAACCTTTAAAATTATTTCAAATTATTATACGTTAGAAAACCTCGAAATTGAAAAAATTGAAAAAAAATGAAGCGTGTTCATTCAAGGTCATATGTAGCATAATCATCTCATTATTCAACATAATTGTAATATTTGGAGATGGACATGGACCACCTGGGAATGACTGGCCTAGAGAAATAAGCTCCTAAAAAAAATAATTCTTCTCCCAAGAAAATCATTCCTTGGCAAAAGTAATTTTTTTTCCCAGTGAATAATGGTACAAAATTGATTTTCATTATTATGTCAATGGAAAATGAAAACCAGCAAATCCCAATTTCTGTCGTCATGAATAATGAAAGCAAATCAATTTTTCATTATCGTAGTAATAGATACAAATCGTATCTATCATAATAATATCCTTTAACGTCACAAGATGTGAAACACTATATAAACTCTTTTCTTCATTGAAAATTGATTGCCGTATGACGGACCTAACTGCCCAACAGCTAATTTTTGGTTCATTGTCCATTTTAACTTGCTTCTTAGTTTAGCTCTTCCCTAAAAATATTCAATTTATGAGATAGATTTCATTATTAATTAGAGGAGTATTCAATAATGTCTACCCATAATTACTGATTAATTGAGGAATAGAAACTTTTTATTTCTGACTACCATCATAAGGAATGGCATTTCAATAATCATTGTCCATTGTCACAGTAATGAATATTTTGACGGTCAACATAACCAATTAACAGAATAATGAAAATATTTTTGTTTTCATTATTGATTAGATGAATATTGAGAAAGATTTTCGATTTGATTATTGATTGAATGACTACTCTAAAATATTCAAGTGGAATTCCTGATGAGATAAATAATAGTTTTTTATTGTTAATTATTCCTCTTTGATACGGTATTTGAAAAATGTGAATTTCTCAATACTCATAGATAATATTGTCGCATTAAAATCAAAGGGGCGTAAGTGCCATTTCTCTGAGATTTTTTTTCTCTTAATACCAAAGGGGCGTATGTTTTTTTTTTCCTTCGAAATGGAGTTTTCTCAACTTATGAAAGGTTTTTTGTGGACAAATTTCTGAAGTGGCAAATGGACGTAAGTCCGACTAGCAACTACTGAAGGGGCGTATCTCCAGCACATACGCCTCTTTCTTTTTATACTTTTTGTTTCTTTTCTAGCTCATATTGAGAATGAATAATTCCAAAGGGGCGTAACTCAGGCACATACGTCCCTTTGTTTTTGAAGCAATAATCACAGAGGGGCGTAACTCCAATATATATGTCCCTTCATTTGTTACTGTTCGTTCCTATTGATTCATCAAGTATAAACGGAATCACATGCACTACAGCCCTAATAATAAATAATATTTGATTCTACATTAACCTCCCCTCCCTCCCTCTCATCATGAATGTTCAAATTATTTCCCTTTGATTTTTTGCTTGAATGAAACAATTTCATGAGAAATATCAGTAACTAAACTAAAATTTTCTAAAATTTTCTTCTAAATTTATTCGATTTCATTCATTAATTTATTTCATTTTTTTAAATTATAACTACGAATTTCAGGAAATTATCTGTATGAAATTTCGAGTCGTGACTGCTTTGAACACTTCGGAAGAAAATGAGACCATAAAGGAAGAAGAAAATAGTTAAAGCGTTTTATGTTGATATAACAATATAAAACTCATTATCGCGAGTAGACCTAAGATATAATGAGAGAGAGGCGTATGTGGGACTTACGCCCTTTTCGTTTTATTTCAACATGAAATGTGTCATCCGAAGTGCACAACACATAATGTAAAAAGGGCGTAAGTGTCATTTTTTGAATGAAATGAAACAGGCGTAAGTGTGGAGATACGCCCCTTTCCCGTTGAAATATAGCAATTACGCCTTTTTCCTAGATTTTTTTTTTCCGATTTTTGGTCAGAAATTCCATGAAAAACAGAAAAAACAGGAATTCGGAACATACGCCCCTTTCACTTTTAAAATGGGTGTTTTGGCACTTACGCCCCTTTGATTTTAATGCGACGATATAATGAAAAATATTTACACGTTATTAGCTATTAAGTAAAATAGTATATTTCGTAACGAGTGCAAAAAACATTTTTTCACGAGTTACGAACAATATTTTTCATCACAATGTGCCGGAAAGTCGACTTTTAGGCACGCGGAGCGTGCATGAAAAGTTCACTTTTCATCACAGCGTGATGAAAAATATATATTTGCGGTGTAAATATTGGTGAAAATAATATTTGTGCCGATCTCTGTGTGGAAGTAGAGAGGGTCTACTTACTAGAGTGTACTTTGAGATCAGGAATTTTTGAGTTATCATTGAAGTAATTTACCGGAGTGTCAATCGGCGTCTTGTCCTGGGGGAGAGTGGAGGGGGGTTTTAGGGCGGCTGGTGAGTGCTTCCGTTCGTTGGAGAGCATTGTGTCCCAGCTGGTTTGGAATGAATTGAAATGTTTCAGTTTAGGACAGATAAAAGTAATGTCACAATTTCAGACCCCTATTGTAGAACGAATGAGGGATTTTTTCGCTATGAGAAATATTTGTGGAATCAGCAATTGATGGCATCTAAACAAATTCTTTACGACATCATTCAATCAAATCAGCACATTTTTTTTTCGCTATCGTGGGACAACCGATTTTCAAAGAAATTCGAAAATTAGAAAACACCTTTTAATCGATGAATTGAATTTTAATTAATGGGGATCGATAGGGTTCAAAAATAGCTACATTTGGGAAAAAAGATTCAATTCCATCTGTTCATTAGCCCATCAATATTAAATTTCTGTAATATTGCAAGGATTTGACCCTTACATTAATAAAAGTTTAAAATATACCGAACAAATTTTAGAAATAGTATAATATTAGTAATCTAATTCTTCCGGTTAATGATGAATTAAATATTTGATAATATGGACCTGTAAATTTACCATTAATTGAATTATTCTACTTTTTCAAAAGGGAGTTCTCGATTCCACAAATAATCGACAAAATTCCTACCTAAATTATTGATTAATAAAATAGTTAAAAATTTGAATATTCAACTTCATGATACTTAAGTAATTAAAACAACGAAATTAGCTGTGTAGGAGTCGATTTAAAAAAAAAACTAACTCATAATTGCTATCGTACACTGTTTTGCAAAAATTAAAAAAAATCTTTTGTAGCTGAAAAATTGGAGGCCCTGGAGTATTTTTAATACTTCAAGCGTCTGTGGGACAAATGAACGATAAGAAAATTGTTTTTGCACTAATTATTTATTTTTAGCCCGCAAATTTTAAAACTCAGCAGTCTCTCCTTGAATCACGAGGATCCGAAAATGCAGTGTCTATTGAAATCAATCCAATTATTCAAAAAATTCCACTTGTCTCATGTTTTTTATCACCAATTGACGATGAATTGTGAAAGTTAGTAATTAAAAATAATATCTCACATCAATTGCTCTTTCGGGCTCTCGAAATCATGAAGATCATTCCAACTCAGTTGAGATTCCACTTGATAGTGTGGAGTACCCTCAATGTTTTGGCAAAAACCTGAAAGAAAGATGAAGAAGAAACGTGAGAAATGAACGTCCCATGTGCTTCACTCAAGTGGCCACCCCAGAATCCATCCGCAACAGAACACGAAAAGAAATGATTAAGAATGGAAAAAAAATGTACAAAGAGACGTAAAGTTGTTGCCAACTCAACTCGATGACAATTCGGAAAAGTTTTTCCTCGGGTCTGTGTCGCTGGCAAGTTTTCTTACATCGTCAACCCAAGTTCAGTTTCAGTTTTCTAGGTACATTCGAAGGGTGAATAGAGGCGACGAGAGTTCATAGTAACGGCGAGGGCGCCAGGGTGATGATGGAACGTAGCAAGCGCTTCTTACCTCGGAAAAAGCATTCTATCCAGGTTCATTTTAGCGAAATCCAGCTATATCGAACTTTTTTATCTGATTTTATACATTGTAAAAGTTCACTCAGTATTTTACGTGGATATTCACGAATATACCTTTTCCAATGCGACGACATCTTCGGAGTTGGTGAGAGTTTGTCATTAAAAGTAAGAAGAAAGTGTGCCAACAATATTCTTTCGTCCGTTCAATTTTTTTCGACCCACTTTAATTTTGGAGATGGAAAATTTTTGATTGCGAATAAATATTCGTGAATTCTTGGGTACATGGAGAGAAATATTCAATGGGGAATCGTTTTTCGGCAATTTTTATCGGAATGGAAGAGAAGAAATCTGAAATGTTCAGTAAATTTTCAGGTTCATCACCGAACAAAGTACGAAATTGTCACGTAGTTTTTCCCGAAGAAGTAAAATCTTACAGAAAGCTGGTAAGTTATTTCTACGTTCCGTTCCGTAAAATTTCTCAATCGTTGGGGAAAAATTACGGATCGAATTGTTGTCCCTACAAGGGTGAGTCATCAGACAGGTAGTAAAAAAAAATTTCTTATTTCGACATTTCTGGCACCTCCGAGGGTTTCATTAGCATTAGAGGGGTCAATAATTACAGATTCAACATTCACTTGACGAAAAAAATTCGATTTTGACCCTTGACCCAGTGAAAATGAAAAAGTATTTTTTTTCGTCCTTTCTGTCGCCGCCGAGGGTTCCATCGACATCAGGAGGGTTAATAAATACAGAATCAACGTTTACTATTTTCTATTTAAACACCGCATGCAAACTGAGAGATGAGGGTGGCTAAAATATATTCTGCAACCCTCTCTCTTTGTTGGGTACAAATTTCAACCCTCCGCATACATGCCTTCCCCCTCCACCCCCTCGTGAAATCCCCAGGCCTAGGTAGTACAGAGGAGGACTTCTCACGGCCGAAAAGAATTGATGATGTCGAAAGGAAAACTACGTCGCAAAACTCCACGGACGGAAATATTTAATAGAAAAACCTATCGAATTCGTTAGAAAATTCTATTGAAATTCTATTGAGCTGTTCTATTAGTTTTTGGCCGATTCTATTGAAATGTTCAATAGAAAATATTCAGTAGAAAAAGTCAATAGAATTCCATTTTTCTATATAACTTATTCTATTGAGATATTTTCTATAGAATTTCCTCGGCTCAAATTTGGTAAGTTTTTTCGTTTGATTTTCTTGATGAGAAGAAACTAAAAATAGAGTGAAAAAAACGTAGAAAACTAGAGTCGAGCAAATTCTATAGAAAATATATGAAAAGAATAAGTCGAATTCTGTTGACTTTTTCTATTGAGTCGAAAAATCGAATTCTGTTGAGTTTCTCTATTGAATGTTTTCTATTGAACGTGTCAATAGAATCAGCCAAAAACTAATAGAAAGTTTAATAGAAATTCAATAGAATTTTCGAACGAATTCGATAGATTTTTCTATTAAATTTTTTCGTCCGTGTCATTAGGATTTAGCAGGTCAATCTAGGTCTGGAGAGATCTTAAAAGACCTGGGTACGTCCAATTAGAACCAAATCCCCGACGCGGGAATCAGCAATCACTGTGTCACCGGATTTCTAGATGAATGAGCTCTCGCAAATTAGGATTAACATTTTTGTTTGTTATGTAGTAGTCGAATATATATGTTAACCCGTAATCGCATTATGTTTGTCTACCCGTCGCTCAATTCCAGTCGGGATACTCAATCAGGGAATTCCCGAAATATCGTGTTTCAACAAATATTAAGTTTCGTTTACATTACGGTGGCTGATAGCAGCCGTTGACATGGCAACATGCAGAGCAGAGAATCGAAGTGGGAATCGTGCAAATATCATTGCATAATAGGTACATACGATCTTATTTCTGGGTATCGTATTTACGTTCCTGCATCCAAACCTGTATTTTCCTCGTATTTCTGGGATGTATGTAAACATTTGTGCATCAGGACCGAATATCGAGCAAAAGGAATGCAAATCATATCGCGAATGTATATATTCGGGGTAGGGCAAAGGGATCATCGGGGGTGAAAACCCCAAATTTTTAGACTTTTCGAGTAAAAAAAATATTTTCATTTTAGGGATTGGAACTTCTTTGAATTTTTCAACTGCAAAATGTTCATGAGCACCCCTTCGACCCCCGAAAAAAGATTCAAATCATTCGAAGTAGGGTAAACGGGCGATCAGGGGTGGAAACCCCAAATTTTTGGATTTTTCTAGTATAAAAAAATATTTCCATTCCAGGGGTTGAAATCTACCTAAATTTTCCGACTGCAAAATGTTCATGGGCACCTCCGCGACTTCCAAAAAAAGATTCGACTCAGTCGGAGTAGGGCAAAGGGGTGATCGCGGGTGAAAACCCCAAATTTTTAAATTTTTCTAGTAAAAAAAAAATTTTTTATTCCAGTGGTTGGAGCCTACCTAAATTTTTCAAGTGCAAAATGTTCATGAGCACCCCCTCGACTCCCGAAAAAAGATTCAAATCCAATGAATTATTTCGACCGGTATATTCATACGCTATATTATCCCCTGGGCATTTAAAATTTATACCTTAAAAACATGTAAGCTGACCGAGTAAAGAGCCTAGGGGATAAAGATTCAAATCATTCGGAGTAGGCTAAAGGGGTGATCGGGGGTAAAAACCCCAAATTTTTAGATTTTTCTAGTAAAAAAAATACTTCTCTTCCAGGGGTTGGAATCTACCTAAATTTTTCAACTGCAAAATGTTAATGGGCACCCCCTCAATTCCAGGAAAAAGATTCAAATCATTCGGAGTAGGGCAAAGGGGTGATCGAGAGTGGAAACCCCTAATTTTTAGATTTTTCTAGTAAAAAAAAATATTTCCATTCTGGGGGTTGGAACTTCCTTGAATTTTTCAACTGCAAAATGTTCATGGGCATCCCCTCGCCCCCCCGAAAAAGGTTCAAATCATTCGGAATAGGGTAAAGGGGTGACCAGGGGTGAAACCCCTAAATTTTTTAATTTTTCTAGTAAAAAAAAAAATATTTCCATTTCAGGGGTTGAAACCTACCTAAATTTTTCAACTGCAAAATGTTGATGGGCACCCCCTCGACCTCCGAAACAGATTCAAATTATTCGAAGTACGGTAAAAGGGTCATCGGGGGTGAAAACCCCAAATTTTTAGATTTTTCTAGTAAAAAAAATATTTTTATTCTGGGGTTAGAACCCCCCATTTCATTTTGCCGTGGTTTCCCCCTACGTCACCAAAATAAATTCCGAATACCTCCCACGTACTGTCCCCCGCATTTGGGTCACCCTGTCGATCCCAAGAAACTTTTCCAATCCTATTATTTAAACGAAACAGTCAACAGTTGTTGACCATCCCAGAACAAATCCCGGAAGAACTTCCATCAACAAACTCCCCTAAAAACAACTGTTGAAATAATCCTCCTTCCAAATAAACTGCAGAGGCACTAGCAAAGATCTCACTGTAATCCCTTCCACAATCCCAATTAAATTTAATTTCTCCTCATTAATAATTCCCCCAAGTAACCCGTAATTCCCTGAAATATTGTTTACTCCCTCGGACCCTACCAAGCTCACTCGAGACAACAATAAAAGAATAATCCCCCCTAAAATGTAAATTGGGTATCTCACAACCAGAAGACGCGTAATCTGTACCATAGCATTCTCCTAATGAGGCAATTTTTCCTCTCTCACTCCCTCGACCAGACACTTTTCTCTTTAACACCAGCCTCTGAATAAACTTTTGTCGTGATAGTTTAAGCCCAGTTGGAACTGACTTTTGTCAGTGCTTAACATTTCAAAGTGTCGGGGTTAAACCTCCCGTATTTACATTCTTTTTCTCTCAACCTTAAACTCTCCGGCGAGGAAAAAAACCAGAGAGAGGGAAAAGTCAGCCGAAAAATGAAGAAAATAATACGAGGCGCACCGACGTAATTTATGACTAGTTGGAAATAACAAGAAAATTGAATTATTACTTGTCGATACTTCTTCTATTTATTTTCGTATTTATTCTGCACCACTCGCATTGTCTGCTTTATCGNGGGGGGGGGGGGGGGGGGTTGGGGGTTGAGGCGAGTGGTAATAATAATAGAGAAAAATAATCGAAAGTAATACGGGTAACGATGAGAAATACCGGCAGAAATAGCAGGAGAAAACATTTATAGAATTTTTTAAAGGGATGAGGTACAGACTAACTCTGTTGTTTGTATGGACTGGCCTCATGTGAGGCGCTTCTCCGCTAGGTGATCTTTTCTTTTGGTTTTGGTGTACGAGAGAACACTCCATGATCGTTGGAAATAAACATCCATCTTCGGGGAGAAAACAACAGCAATAATAGCTCTACCAACATAATGGAACTTTTCCATCAGTCTTGAATCTGCTAGACACGCGAATGGAGCGAGACTCACACTATAGGGGGGGGGAGGGGGGCTTTCATCGGGAATTTCAGGGTATTTTTGGGTGAATCGAAGGATATTGGGTGAACAGCTGGGGGAGGGAGCATTCTTTGCTGCAGGGATAGCCATCACACTGCATTCTGATATCCGGTACACTTTTTGGAAATTTTTATCGAATTTAATTACCACTGAAATTTCAAGGAATTTCGTACTTGAAAATTTAGAATTGCGTGGATAATTAAAGAGAATTGTA